ACTCTGGACTCACCACCGTACTCTGGCGGGAAGAAGTGAAGGTTCCGTGGTTCCTCGCGCTCCACGTGGATAGGGCTTCGGAGATCATCCGGGAGCGCTGTGGGGAGAGGAGAGGATGAGCAGGCTGTACTTCTCCGTGCCCTCCATCCCCCTACGGTCCCCCCCCCCCCAGGGTCCCCACGCACCGTTGGAGAAGATACGGTGCCACACTGCACCGGCCACCGCAGGGAGAAAGAGTAGGCGTCAGTGTGGTGGGGCATTGGGTGTCTTCTGCCCACAGTTTCTGGCAGCCCCCTCCTCCCCTAGCAGCCGCACCCCCCCCAACCCCGCCAGCACCAGAGCCAATCTTGATGAGGCCGTTGTGCTGTATGAAGATGGTATCACTGGTCAGGTTCCCATGGATGATGGGAGGGTTGCAGGCATGTAGAAAGCTGCAGAGGGAAAGGAGGGCAGGTATAGTCAGGTCAGGGGTCACTGAGGCTGTAGGGACGTGGTGGGGCAAGCCCAGACCCTCACCTGAGTGCAGACAGGATCTGCGTGCACCAGCGCTTCCAGGCCTGCTGGCGGATGGACTCTGTCCGACCGGTGCGGGAGAGGCAGCTGCGCCTATGGTGCCCACCCCGCACCCCCACCTCTCATCCCTGACCCGGCCCCGGCCCATTTAGGTCCCCAGGTCTGCCCCTTAGCCACATCCCCAATGCAGCCCCAGCCCACTCCCCATACCCGGGCGTTCATGGCCTTGTGGTTTTTCTTGGTCTTTTTGAGGAATTGCTTGAGGCTCCCTGATGACACGTACTCTGTGATGAAGATGACCTGCGGGGTGGGTGGGCTCCGACAGCTGCAGCTGGGTTGCTACCACCGCCCCCCCCCCCCCCGTGGCCACATCCCTCCCTGTGGTGTGCCTGTGGTGTGATCATGACCATGGCTCACCCGCGCCCGGGCTTCCGAGGCATCCAGCCAGTATTTGTGCAGCTTGACGATGTTGGGGTGGTCTACCAGCGCCAGCTGCTCAAACATGGTCTGGATCTTCTCCTGGGAAGGGGGGTGCGGTCACGGGGTGGTGGTGGGGGGCCGCGGTCGCTCAAGGGGTGGGCAGGCCTCACCTCATGGGCTGCGAAGGCCTTCCTATCCCCGAAGTGCAACTCATTCCACACCACCTCCACCCCCTCCTCTGTGTCCATGGCCAGGAAGGTGCTCTGGACCCCCGGCATGTTCCCCTGGTTCACCTGGCAGTGGGGGAGGGAGGTATGAGTGTGGCGATCTGTGTCAGGACACCGAGTGAGGGCTTGGTCTCTGCCCACACCCTTGGAGGGGAAGCAAGCTTGGTATACTGGCCCTGACCCCCTCCAAGGGGGAACTGCAGGACCGGAGGCAGGCTGGCCTCTACTAGCTAAGTAGTGGTATCCAGGGGCGGGGCCAGGGGATTTGGGGCAGGTTTCAGGGGAGTCAGGATGGTGTTCAGGGGGCTAGCTGCTGGTCTGGTCACAGAGGGATGGGGAGGTGGTCCTGGGAGGAGGCTGGACTTTAGGAAACTGGGGGGATCGTCACCAGGGCAGGAGGACCAGGGCCAAAGGGGTGCAGGGGCCGCCCAGTTAGGGGGCGAGGCCGCGGAGAGGTTTCTGGTCTGTCGGCTTGCCCAGCGCTCCCACGGGCCCTTCGTGGCCTCCCGGGCTCCTCCGCCGGGGGTGGGCGGTGACCACCATCCCTCCCCCGGTCCTTCCCCCCACCCCCCCGGCGCCGCCGTGCCCACCTGCTCCCGCCGCTTCTGCCAGCGGCCGCAAGGGCTCTCCTCCAGGATGTCGCTCTCGTCCTCGCTCTCATCCTCCCGCTCCCGCTCCCGGCCCCGCCTCGGTGCCGGCTCCGGGGCCGCCATGGCTGGGCTGGCCCAGGCCGCCGCCCTCCGCGGGACCCGCCGCCGCCACCGCCGCCGCCGCTCCCCGCCCGCCCTGGCCCTGAGCCCAGACGCCGCGGCGGGAGCGGAGCCGCCGCCCGCCGCCGCGGGCCCGCACCCAGCTCCGGGAATTGGGAGGCTCGGGCGCGCGGCCAGCGGGGTGGGGGGGACCCGCCCGCCGCTCCGGAGCAGCCTCCCGGGGCCGGAGCGTGAGAGAGATTCCCGGCGGAGCGCCGTGCCCGCGCCGGGCCCCGCCCACCACCCGGCAAAGCCCCGCCCCGCCCCGCCCCGGCCCCGCCCCATCTGTGGCCGCGTGCCCAGGCCCCGCGCAGCGCCAGCCTAAGGCCACGCCCTCCAGCCCCGCCCCATCCGCGGGGTCGCCGCTGCTGTGTACCCGCTCTCGGGCCCCGCCCCGGGTGCGGCCCTCTCCCAGGCCGAGGCCCGGCCTAGCCCTGCCTGAGGCCCCGCCCCACGGGGGGGGGCCCCGCTCCGGCGGACGCCCCGCCTATTCCGACTAGGGCCCGCGCCCCCGGGGCCCAGCTGCGGTCCGGGTACCGGCTCGTGCAGCCAGCCTCCGGTCTCGGCTGCGGGCGGAGGAGGCCCCACCACCGTCCGGAGTCCAGCGGCCCGACCTCAGGGGGTTCGGCGCCGTCCTGGAGCCGGGCACGTCGGGTCCTCCCTGGGCGCCGGCAACCCGCGTGGGCCCGGCCTGGGGCCCCGGGAAACGCCCTGTGCGGCTCTCGGAACCGCGGGATTTTCCCGCTCCGCTTGCCCACCACCCTCACGCTGCCCCGCGGTTGTCTCCAGGCTTGCGTCGCCCCGGGATGGGCCCAGCCTGGAGGGCGGCGAGGGGGCGACTCCCCGAGGACAGGGAGGCTATGGGGCACCTGGGAGGCCAGCTCTCCCGGCGCGTCCTCCCCACCGGCTCCCAGGGTCACCGACGTGATGCAGACACACACCAGCAGGCTGACCAGACGGCTTTAGTTGCCGGTCACAAGCCTCCCCCGCCTGCCCTTCTGCACTTGACTTTCGCTTGCTCCGGGTCACCTTCCCACGCTCCAAAACGGCGATTTACTCTCTTCTCTTGCTGTTCTGCTGACGGCTCCCCCGGCACAGAGGAGCCCAGGGTGGGGAGCCCCTCCCTCCTCACATGCAGCCCCTTTCTCTCCAGGAGGCCCCTGGTCACACCCTCTGACCGAGTCAACAAGAGACATTCTCTAGGATTCTTGTCTAAAATCTCCCTTTGCCCCACTGCCCTCCCATGGTCTTACCCTGTCGCAACTGCTGATTCCTCACCCTGACTTCATCGTCTCTTTCTAGAGAGAAAAGTGGTGCATGCCCGTGCCTGCCTCCTCTCAAACTTGAACCCCAGCCCTGAGCGCCTGCTCTGCGGAATGGCCTTCAGCCCCACTAGTGTATCAGTCAAAAGGGACACTTCTCTTTAAGCATCGGACCGCGTCCGCCATCCTTACTGTTGCCGACCTTCTAGAACCAGCCTTGCTCACCAAGACCATGGAGCAGCCTGCTCCCTGTGTCCTGGTTTCCCCAGGACCAGGCAGAACTTTGAAAATCTCATTCACCTGCTCAGAACTCTGTGTACTAAAGAGGGAGACCAGTGAGGACCAGCCCTCTGTCCCAACTACATAGACTTTAATAAATGACTGAAGCACCAAGCTCTTGTAGCAGTCATTGAGTATGACCCTTCAGTGGTCTTTTATCATTATTATTTCCTTTTAGAGAGCAAGTGAGCATGGGTGAGGAGAGGGGGAAATGGAGAGAGAGAGGATCTTTTTTTTTATTATTTTAAAATTTTTATTTATCTCTAGGAGAGAGAGACACAGCGTGAGGAGGGGAGGGTCAGAGAGAGAGGGAGTCACAGACTGAAACAGGCTCCAGGCTCCGAGCTGGCAGTCAGCACAGAGCCCGACGCGGGACTCGAACCCACGAACCGCGAGGTCATGACCTAAGCAAAAGTCGGACGCTCAACCGACTAAGCCACCCAGGCGCCCCAGAGGATCTTTTTTAATGTTTATTTATGAGAGAGAGAGAGAGAGAGAGAGAGAGAGAGAGAGAGAGACGGAGCAGGGGAAGGTCAAAGAAAGGGAGAAAGAGACTCCCCAGAAGGCTCTGAGCTGTCAGCATAGAGCCCAACGTAGGATTTGAACTCAAAAACCACGAGATCATGACCTGTGCTAAAAGAGTCAGACATTTAACCAACTGAGCCACCCAGATGCCCCGAGAATCTGAAGCAGGCTCCATGCTCAGAATGAAATCCAAAACGGAACTCCCATCTCCTATCCCTCAGATCATGACCTGAGCTCAAATCAATAATGGGATGCTCAAGCAACTGAGCCGCCCACAGGCCCCCTAATGGAGTGTTTTAACACACTATTCTAAAAACAACTCCATGTTACCCTACATTTGTGATTGTTATTTTCCTTTTTAACTTCTTATTTTTACATTTAAAACATCTGACCAATCAAACCTCGGAAATCAGAGACATTTCCTTAAACATTAATATTTCTTTGTAAATCATAAAGCATAGAGCTATAAACCGTGCCAGTGATCGACCCATGAGGGAACACACCTAATGGAAGAGCTACTCCAAGACACAGATTCAGGCTGAGCTTTATTGAGCACAGCAAGGGGACACACAGCCACCAAAGAGGGACCCGAAATAACCATGAACCACTGAATTGAAAAGAAAACTTAATAGCAAATGACATAATCCACAGGCAGGACCATATCTTTAAAATAGAAAGGACATGGGTACCTGGGTGGATCAGTCAGGTAAGGATCTGACTCTTGGCTTTGGCTCAGGTCAAGATCTCAGGGTTCATGGTTTTGGGCTCCACACTGGGCGCTGGGATGACAGCTCCGGAGACTGCTTGGGATTCTCTCTGTCTCTCTCTCTCTTTCCATCTCTGTCCCTCACCCCTCATGTTGTCCTTGTCTCTCATAAATAAACACTCAAAAAAAAAAAAAAGGGAAAATAAAATGGAAAACAGACCATGTAAAAAAAGGAATATAAGAAAGGAATGTGTGTACTTCAATGTGGTACCACAGCCACACCAATGAGAGGAAGACGGTTTGTACTAAGACGGAACATGATTTAATAGAGAACATCACCGACTATTGTCTCAGACACAAATGTGCTAAGAATTCGCAACAAAAAAGGAGATACGCGGACGAGAGTAAGAAAAGAAGATTATGTTACATTACAACAAAATTGAAAAGTGGGAAAACTAGCAAGATAAAGGAAATTTTTGGTTTATGACAAGAAAGATATATAACACAAGGGACAGTGGATTGACAAATAATTGCAATATTCCTAAACACTTGATTAACTGATATAAGTTTTATACATGGACCCAGGAAAAGGCTAAAGGCCATTCAAACGGCACTCAAGGACAAAAACAAGAGACCCGTCTCCGGGTCCTCCACGCAGCGCTCCAGCAGCTGCAGGTAGGTGAGGTTCTCGTGCGTGTTGGGGTCGAAGAAGCCCTTGGTGTCGTCGCTCGGGTCCGCCAGGACGCGGCTCATCTCTTCGTCGAAGTAGCCGCGCTGGTGGGCCACGTCCACGGGCAGGCGGTGGCTGTGCACCGGGTCGATGATGCCGCCCGTGGCGATCTGGGCCTCCAGCAGGCGGACGCCGTGGTCGCGCACGATGAGGTCCCTCTTCATGGCCTGGAAGAGGGAGATGCGCTCCCCGGTGTAGGGGTCGGTGTAGCCGGTGACGGCGCGCTCGGCCGACAGCAGCTTNGGGGGTCTTCTGAAAGGTCTCGCGAGCCTGCAGCTCAGAGCAGAGTCCCTCCCGCCGGGCCCGGGCCTCCTTCTCCGAGAGTGGCAGCAGGCTCAGCCCCGTGAGCGGGTCGGACCGGCACTGCCGCTGCAGCTGGCTGTAGGTGACCGGCTCTTGTGTGCGGGGGTCGGAGTAGGTCTTGGCGTCGTCCCTGGGCGCCGACAGGGCTCGGCTGGTCTCCTCGTCCAGGTAGCCACGGGCATAGGCGACGTCCACGGGCACACGGTGGCTCTTGCTTGGGTCCACGATGCCACCTGTGGACAGCTGGGCATCCAGCAGGCGCAAGCCCTGCTCCCTGGGGATGAGGCCCTTCTTTAGGGCCTGGAACAGAGAGACGCTCTGCCCCGAGTAGGGGTCTTTGTGGCCGGTCACGGCCTTCTCGGCCGACAGCAACTTCTCATGCAGCTCGGGCCCCACCAGGCCAGCACGCACCGCCTCGTCCACGGTGAGCCGGGCGCTTGTGGCGGGGTCGATGACGTGCCCGGTGCCAGCCTGGGCCTCCAGAAGTGCCACAGCTGCCTCCGGCTGCAGCAAGTCTTTCTTCAGGGCCTCGTAGATGCTCAGCCTCTGTCCTGCCTCTTCCAGCCACACCCCTGCGATGACGTCACTACCCCGCAGGGCCCGCCGCACAGCATCCACCTCGGCCACCTCTTGCACTGAGCGCTCGCCCTTCTGCAGCTGGCGGTAGAGGTCGCGGTCGATGACACCGCTCTCGAGCAGCTCGGCAGCAGGGACCAGGGCCCGCAGACCCTGGAAGCAGAGCTGCCCTTTCTGCTCGTGCTCCTCGACCACCGTGATGACGATCTTGATGATCTTCTCCACGGTGACCTTGCCCGTGCGGAACTGCCGCACCAGATCCCGCCGCTGCTCTGCCGTGAAGTACTCGGAGTTGATGATTTCCCAGATGGTCACCGTCTTGCCCCGGAACTTGCCAAATGGCGCAGACACGGTGGCTTTCTCGAACACGTCCCGGGCCTCCGAGTCGGTGTAGACCAGCTCCCGACCCTTGGCAGCCTGGTCTGTGAGGGGCAGCAGGCGCAGGCCCGTCTCGGGGTCCTCCACGCAGCGCTCCAGCAGCTGCAGGTAGGTGAGGTTCTCGTGCGTGTTGGGGTCGAAGAAGCCCTTGGTGTCGTCGCTCGGGTCCGCCAGGACGCGGCTCATCTCTTCGTCGAAGTAGCCGCGCTGGTGGGCCACGTCCACGGGCAGGCGGTGGCTGTGCACCGGGTCGATGATGCCGCCCGTGGCGATCTGGGCCTCCAGCAGGCGGACGCCGTGGTCGCGCACGATGAGGTCCCTCTTCATGGCCTGGAAGAGGGAGATGCGCTCCCCGGTGTAGGGGTCGGTGTAGCCGGTGACGGCGCGCTCGGCCGACAGCAGCTTCTCCTGGATCTCGCCGCCCACCACGCCCGCGGCCACCGCCTCCTCCACGGACAGCCTCTGGTTGCGCACGGGGTCGATGACGAAGCCCGTGGCCGCCTGCGCCTCCAGCAGCACCAGGGCCGTGCCGGGCCGCAGGACGCCCTTCCACATGGCCTGGTAGATGCTCATCTTCTCCTGCCGGCCCGGCTCGTGCTTGGCGGGCACCAGCACGCCCGCGATGCAGCTCGTGCCCTCCAGGTAGCGTTTGACCCGTTCGTCCTTTCTGATGACCTCCGTGGTGCTGGCTCCCTTGTCCAGATCTTCTAGCATCTTCTCGGTGATTATCCCTGAATGGAACAGTTCGGCAGCTGTGATTTGTTTTCTGAATCCTCGGAACCACAATTGTTTCTTACCTTTTTCCTTCTCATCTATCAGTTCTAAAATGATATTCACTACCTTTTCTAATGCTTTCGCTGTGTCTCTTTTGTATTCCCCAATCAAGTGGAGCTTCATCTCCTCCGTCACATATTCTGAGTTCAGGATCTCCCACAGTGATGGCCTCTGGTTCTTGTACCTTCCCACTTGCACGTCCACCCGCTCTGCCTCCAGGGCCCTCCTGGTGGGCTCGTCGACATAGGCAGCGGCGTGTTGACTCTCGAGCAGCGGGAAGAGAGCCCAGCCTGTCCCCACCTCCGTTTGGCTCCTTTCCTGCAGCTGTCGGTAGGTGACCCTCTCCTGAGTGTTTGGATCCACAAACCTTTTATTCATGTGCTTCTGATCTGAAACGAGGGGGTATGTGTGCTCGTGCAGACACCCGCGTCTGTAGGCCTCGTCCAGCGGGAGCCGGTGGTGGTGCAGGGGATCAATGACGCCCCCCGTGGCCACCTGCACCTCCAGCAGTCTGAGCGCCTCCTCCCGTTTGACTAACTTCTTTTTCATGGCCTGGAACAGTGGGACTTTGTCACCCGTGACTGGGTCTGTGTAGCCATGAGCGGCCTACTCAGCGTCCAGAAGCCTTTCCTGCAAATCCTCGCCCACCAGCCCCTCAGCCACGGCCTGGTGCACAGACAGCCTCCTGCGGCTGTGGGGATCCAGCAGGAACCCAGTGGCCGCCTGCGCCTCCAGCAGCTGAGCCGCGAAGCCCAAGGGGATGAGTCCTTTCCTGCTGGCTTCATGGAGGCTCATCACCTCTTGGGTGGATGGTATTGTCAGCCCTGCGATGCAGCCGCTGCCTTCCAGATAGGTCTTCACCTGGGGCAGCCTGCTGAGGCCCTGCCCCCCCTGCGTCTCCCTGTGCAGCACATGCAGAGTCCTTTTATCGATGATTCCAGAGTTAAATAAGTCTGCAGCCGTCACCTGCCCCCCGATGCCTGGAGCTTGGATGAGCTGGTACTGCTTTTCCATTTCTTCCACCGTAGCAGTGATGATCTCCAGCAGCTGCTCGAGGGGGAGCCTCTGGGCTCTGTACTCCTGGATGAGCTCCCACTTCCTTTCCTCTGGGAAGTAGTGAGAGGAGAGCAGGTCCCAGAAGGAGACGTTCTGATTGGCAAACGTCCCCACATGCATGTCTGTAGTTCGGGACTGCAGGGCTTGTCTCGCGGCTTCATCCGTATAAACGTAGGTCTCTCCTTTCTTTACAATTTGTAACATATACAGGCCCGTCTCGGGGTCCTCCACGCAGCGCTCCAGCAGCTGCAGGTAGGTGAGGTTCTCGTGCGTGTTGGGGTCGAAGAAGCCCTTGGTGTCGTCGCTCGGGTCCGCCAGGACGCGGCTCATCTCTTCGTCGAAGTAGCCGCGCTGGTAGGCCACGTCCACGGGCAGGCGGTGGCTGTGCACCGGGTCGATGATGCCGCCCGTGGCGATCTGGGCCTCCAGCAGGCGGACGCCGTGGTCGCGCACGATGAGGTCCCTCTTCATGGCCTGGAAGAGGGAGATGCGCTCCCCGGTGTAGGGGTCGGTGTAGCCGGTGACGGCGCGCTCGGCCGACAGCAGCTTCTCCTGGATCTCGCCGCCCACCACGCCCGCGGCCACCGCCTCCTCCACGGACAGCCTCTGGTTGCGCACGGGGTCGATGACGAAGCCCGTGGCCGCCTGCGCCTCCAGCAGCACCAGGGCCGTGCCGGGCCGCAGGATGTGCCTCCTCAGGGCCTCGGAGATGCTCATCTTCTCCTTCGTGCCCTGGACGAGAACCCCAGCAATGAAGTTGCCTCCTTCCAGGTACCGCCTCACGCCGTGCATCTCTGTCACCTCCTGCACCGTCTTTCTCCCCCGATTTAGCTCGTCCAGTGTCTGCTTGTCAATGAGCTGGGACCTGAACAAGTCGCTGGCTGACACCTGCTTCCGAAGGCCTCTAAAGGTGGCCTGCGAGGGCTGCCTCTCTGCCGCCTCCACCAGGGTGGCGACCGCCACGGCCACCTGGCGCAGGGCTGCGGCCCTCCCTGAGCGGCAGAGTGCTGCCAGCTCTCGCCGCTGCTGGACGCCGACGTACTCTGAGTGCAGCAGGTCCCACAGCGACACGCTGAGACCTTCGAACCTCCCGGTGCTGACGGGCACCTTCATGGCCCTCAGGGCCACTGTCGTGTGCTCATCCACCTCCAGCACCGTGTCCGGGGTGAGCGGCAGCAGCCGCAGGCCGGTGTCCCCGTCCAAGACACAGCGATCCTTGAGCTGCATGTACGTCACCCTGTCCCGTGTGCCTGGGTCGAAGAAGAACTTGTTGTCCTCGGATGCTGAGGTCAGGACCCGGCTGACTTGCTCGTCCAGGAGCCCAAGCCTGCAAGCTGCCTCCTGGGGCAGGTGCACCCCGTGCACGGGGTCCACCGCGCCCCCTGTGGCCAGCTGCACCTGCAGAAGCCGGAGGCCCTCACTTTGGGGCACCAGCCCCTTCCCCATGGCCTGCCACAGTGACAGGGAGCCTCCCGAGTAGGGGTCGGCGTACCCGGCCACGGCCCCGGCGGCCTGCTGCAGCTGCTCGCTCAGCGCCCTGCCCACCAGGCCCGCCTTCACTGCGCCTTCCACAGACAGTCTCTGGCTGGTCAGAGGGTCAACGAGGGAACCAGAGGCCACCTGGGCCTCCAGCAGCCTTTGCCCCAGCCCCTCAGGCAGCAGGCCGTCCCTCACAGCATGGCCGATGCTGGCCTTGGTCCCCGCCGGCTGCAGCAGCAGGCCCGCCACGCAGCCCGTGCCCCACAGACGGGTCTTCACGGCGGGCTCCTCGGCGACCTCCGCAGGTGACCGTGTGCCCTGAGCCAGGGCCGCCAGGGTCTCCGGGGTGATGATGCCGACGTCATGCAGCCAGACGGCAGGAACCTCGCCCCTGGGGCCGGGCACCGTGACACGAGCCCGTGCCAGGAGCTCTGCCTCCCGCACCCACTTGTGCACAGCTCCCTGCAGCTGCTGCAGGGTGGTCCTCCCCGACCTGAAGTCCTCCAGCAAGCTCTTCCGCTGCTCGTCAGTGAAGTGGCCAGAGCCCAGCAGCTCCCAGAGGGACTTGCCGTCCTGGGTCCCCTGCTGCGCCCGCAGAGTCTCCCGGACCTGCTCGTCGGTGGGGCCGGCCGGGGCGCTTTCGGGCAGGGGCAGGAGGGGGAGGCCGGAAGCCTCGTCCCTGTGACACTGCGCCAGGAGCCGGGCGTAGCTGGTGCGTCCCCGGCCGTCCGGGGCGGGGAAGGTCTCGGGCGAGCCGGACAGGGCGTGCTCCGTGTCCTGGTCTATGTGGCCTCGCCGGGTGGCCACGGGCGTGGGGAGGTGGACGTGGGCCATGGGGTCAACGACCCCGCCGGTAGCCAGCTGGGCATCCAGGAGCCGGGCGGCCTGCTCCTCAGGGACGAGCCCCTTCTTCATGGCCTGGAATAGGGACACCCGCTTCCCAGAGAAGGGGTCTCTGAAGCCGGTGACAGCGTCCTCGGCCTGTCTCAGCTGCCCGTACAGCTCCGGCCCCACCAGCTTCCTGCGCACGGCCTCCTCCACCGACAGGGTCTCCAGGCTGTGGGGGTCGATGAGGGCTCCGGTGGCCGCCTGCGCCTCCAGCAGCGCGAGGGCCACCCCCGGCGCCAGCACCTTCTGCTTCACGGCCTCGTACAGGATGAGCCGCCGGCCGGAGGGCCGCAGCAGCACGCCGCCGAGGGCGCCGGAGCCCTGCAGGCACCTCTGGACGCCGTCCGTGCGGAGGAGGGCTTCGGGGCTGACCGTCCCCTCCAGCACCCGCTCCAGGAGCTCCCGGCCGATGACACGGGCCTCCCAGAGCTGGTAGGCCGTGACCCGGCCCCGCAGCCCGGGCAGCGAGACGTCCGCCCACCTCCCCATCTCCCTCTCCAGCCACTGTCCCACCTGCGCCAGGGAGAGGCTGCGCTGCCGGTACTTCCGCAGGAACTGCCTCCTCTGGTCCTCGCTGAAGTATTCGGAGTTGATCAGCTCCCACGCGGAAACCCTCTGGCCCTGGAAGCGCCCGAACTTCACCGACAGCAGCAGGCTCTGGAAGGCCTGTCGGGTGGCGCCATCCACGACGGGGGGCTGTGCTCCCTTCAGGGGCAGCAGGCGCAGGCCCGTCTCGGGGTCCTCCACGCAGCGCTCCAGCAGCTGCAGGTAGGTGAGGTTCTCGTGCGTGTTGGGGTCGAAGAAGCCCTTGGTGTCGTCGCTCGGGTCCGCCAGGACGCGGCTCATCTCTTCGTCGAAGTAGCCGCGCTGGTGGGCCACGTCCACGGGCAGGCGGTGGCTGTGCACCGGGTCGATGATGCCGCCCGTGGCGATCTGGGCCTCCAGCAGGCGGACGCCGTGGTCGCGCACGATGAGGTCCCTCTTCATGGCCTGGAAGAGGGAGATGCGCTCCCCGGTGTAGGGGTCGGTGTAGCCGGTGACGGCGCGCTCGGCCGACAGCAGCTTTGCAAACACATCGGGCCCGATGAGGCCAGCCCTCAGAGCCTCCGCCACAGAGTATCTCTTGTTCGCCTTTGGGTCGAGGATGAAGCCCGTGGCCGCCTGCGCCTCCAGGAGGATGAGGGCGGAGCTGTGCCTGAGGAGCCCCCTCCCGCGGGCCTCGTAGACGGCCAGCCGCTCCCGGGAGCCCAGCAGCAGCACGCCCGCGACGCAGCCGGTGCCCTGCAGGTACCTGCGCACCGCGCCCAGCTGGGCCACCTCCTGGGCCGTGGCCTGTCCTCGCTCCAGCCGCTCGTACACGTCCTGGTCGATGATCTCTGCTCTCAGCAGCTCGCCTGCTGTCACAGGCGCCCTCAGGCCGGTAAAGGTGGTCCTGGCCGCGGCCGCAGCCTGCTCGAGGGTGGCCCTCAGCACGGCGGCCAGTTCTTCCTGCGAGATGGTGCCTTCCTTGTAGCGCTGGGCCAGTGCCGCCCTCTGCTCCACGGGGATGGACTCTGAGAAGAGCAGCTCCCAGAGAGATGCGGGCCGGCCCTGGAACGGCCCCGCGGAGACGGTGCTCACGGCCTCGCTCAAGGCCTGCCGGGTGCTGTGGTCAATGAATGGGAGTCCTCGGGGCTCCTCCGCAAGGGCGCCCCCCAGGAGGGGAAGGAAGGCCAGCCCCGTCTCTGGGTCGGTGACGCAGTGGGCCAGCAGCTGCTCATAGCCCAGGCTTTCCTGCGTGCCGGGGTCCCAGAAGCCAGTGGCCTGGGAGAGACACTGCTGAGTCTCTTCGTCCAGGCATCCGAAGCGCAGGGCGGCCTCCAGGGGCAGCCGGAGCCTGCGGGCCGGACACACTAGCCCACCTGTGGCCAGCTGGGCATCAAGGAGCCGCAAGGCCAGAGGCCTGTCCACCAGCTCCTTCTTCATGGCCTGGAAGAGAGGCACTCGGGTGCTGCTGAAGGGGTCACGGTACCCCGTCACGGCCTCCTCCGCCACCAGGAGCTGCCTGTGGAGCTCTGGGCCGACCAGGCCTGACCTGACCGCCTCATCCACGCGGAGCCGCTGGCCGGTGGCCGGGTCCACCAGCGTGCAGGTGGCGGCCTGGGCCTCCAGGAGCGCGAGCGCCGTGCCCATCGGGAGCAGGTGTTCGGTGGCGGCCTGGTAGAAGCTCTTCTTGTGGCCTGCGGGCAGCAGGACGGCCCCCGCGACCCCCCCGGTGCCCTGCAGGTACCGCCTCACGTCGGCCCTCGTGCTCAGCGCCCGGGCCGGCAGCTTGCCCTCCCGAAGGCCCCGGGCGGCCTCCTCATCCAGGACCCCCGCCTCTAGCAGCTCGGCCAAGCTCGCTGCCCCGCTCAGGGTGTGGAAAGTGGTCGTGAGGGGCAGTAGGGCCAGCCCCGTGCCCGGGGCCCTCACGCAGCGGCCCAGCAGCTCGCCGTACGGCAGCCGCTCCAGCGTGTTGGGGTCCAGGAAGCCGGGGCCGCCGTCGCTGGCCTTGCTGTCAGACAGGCCACGCCACGCTTCCTCACCCAGGAGGCCCTGCATGCAGGCCGGCCCCGGGGCCACTCGCGTGCCCCGGACGGGATCCACCAGGCCCCCCGTGGCCAGCTGGGCCTGCAGCCAGCCCCAGCCCAGCGCTCTGTCTACCACCTCCTTCCCGATGGCCTGGAAGAGCGCCAGCCTCTCGCCGCCGTAGGGGTCGGGGTAGCCGGTGACGGCGCGCTCGGCCACCAGCAGCTTCTCCTTGAGCTCCAGGCCGACCAGGCCCTGCCGCAGGGCCTCAGACACAGGGAGGGAGCAGCCTTGCGTGGGGTCCACAAGGCCTCCGGTGGCCGCCTGGGCCTCCAGCAGCGCCAGCCCCAGCTCGGCCGGCAGGAGGCCCTGCTTCATGGCAGCGTAGAGGCTCTGTGCCTGGCCGGAGGCCTCCACGTACACCCCGGCGATGATCTTGGGCTGGGCAGACTGGGGCCCGGAGGGGGTGCTGGTTCCCGGCATGGCCTTCGTGGTCTTGGGGACGACGGCCGGCTCGGTGCCGTCGGTGACCAGTACATCAAGAGGGGGAGAGGCGTGGCCATTCATCCTGCTCAGCCTGTTGTCTAGAACTCGCTCCCCCGGGGTCCGCTGCCTCTGCTCTCTGTATGGGGTGGAAAAGCTCTGTTAGGGGCCCTGGACTGGCCCAGGCAGACAGGGAGACACTCAAGAGGTCACTCCCAGACCCCGAGTCAGCCTCCAGACATGGCTGGCCCTCCTGAGAGATGGGGAGGAGCATCTAGGTAAGGCCCTTGGCCTTGTCCTGTGGGCTCCCAGGAGGGACCACGAGGGACCCGAGCCCAGCCAGCGCGGCCTGCGGGATGCGTGGGCTCTGTTGTCCCACAGGCCATCCTCTGTCCCCCAGCCCAGCCCAATACCCTCAGCTCCTGTGCCGGGGGCCCTGTTGCGGGGGCCGGGCCACCTGGGCCAGAGCCCCTCCCCCCATTTCTCACCCAAACCTCCTGTCTGCTCCCCAGAGTGCCTCCCCTGTCCCGCCACCCCTTGGGTTCACGGACATCAGCACCCTTCCCTCTTCCAGTCGCCTCCTCCGAATCCCCACCCCACTCTGGAGCCTCTGCTCTGGCCTCCGCTCCTTCCCAGATCCCCACTGGGCTCCAGCCAGAAGCCCCCACGGTCTTCCACCCCAGCCTGGCTCCGTGTCCTTCTCTGCCCACTCCGATCCCTGTGCTCCCTGCGCTACAGCGTCTTTGGGCCCGTACTTGTCCATGGGGGCCTGAGAGACCACAGACTCAGCGTGTGTGGCGGTCCTGCGGGGGCCACGGGGATGGCAGGTCTCTGGTCAGCTGGCTCAGGGCCCCAGCAGCCCCACAGCTGACCCCTCTCAGGACGGCTGTGTGCCCCAGTTCTCTGGACAGCAGTGACAAGTGCCTCATGTCCCATCTGCACACCAACCTCCTCCACCCAGGCCTGTCCCTTCCCCCTGGGGTTAAGTTGTGTCCCCCCCAAAAGGTATATCCAAGCCCTAACTGCCAGTACCAATGACTATAGCCTTATTTGGAAATAGTCTTTGCAGCAGCCTGGGTGGCTCAGTCGGTTAAGCGTCCGACTTCGGCTCAGGTCTTGATCTCACGGTTCATGGGTTCGAGCCCCGCGTCGAGCTCTGTGCTGACAGCTCAGAGCCTGGAGCCTGCTTCAGATTCTGTGTCTCCCTCTCTCTCTGACCCTCCCTTGCTCACACTGTCTCTCTCTCTCTCAAAAATAAATAAAACATTAAAAAAATTAAAAAACAAAAGTCTTTGCAGATGTAATTCAGTTGAGGTCATGGAGGAGGAATGGCCCCATTCCAACGTGACTTGAGTCTGTACAGGAAGACAGAGGCACAGGAGGGAGCCCGCGGGGCGCGTCTGGAGCGGCTACAAGCCCAGACGCATCAAGGGCCACCACCAAGTGCAGAAGCATTGATTTCAGATTTTGGCCCCTTGAACTGTGAGAGAAGGAGGCGCTGTTGTTTTAAGCCGCTGGAGTTGCGGTAATTGTGCCAGCCATGGCCTTCCTCCCTCCTCCGCCCTTTGAACCGGCCCACACCCCATTTCTGCAGAACTGCGCCCACAGGCCCTGGTGCAGGCCTGCCCTTCACTCCTGCTGGCGCCGGCTGTCTGTCTGCTCCAGAGCCTGAGCACGCCTGTCCTGGCCTTCCAACCAGCCTCCCGCCCCCGCCTGCGCCCCTGTGGGCCTGGGGACGAGGCTCAGGCCCCACTCCGCAGCTCCGCTAAAGTGACCTGGGACTGTGGTCGCCAAACTCAACCAACGCATTTTGGAGTTCACTGCCTGCCTCTGGGTCACGGGTGTGGGGCCTTCTCACTGGTGACAGGTCTCTGCTCTGCCTCCACTTGCCCATTAAATCAGGCAGCCCCTCACACTGCCCCTGGTCCCCCAAATCTGCATCTCAAGCCCAGCCTGTCCTGGAGCCTGGGAACCACATGTCCTGGACGCATGAGGTGCCTCGAACCCCACTGCACCCCCGCAACTGCCAGTGTTCTGTAAGGGGTTCACCCACATCCCCCCTGAAGTCCTGAGCCCTGAATCACTCATGCCTTCACGCGCCCCCAGCGGCCCCACATGGGGCGCCGGCCCCTCTCATGTCCTACAGCTTCCACGGCTTGCAGGTTGACCACTGTGTCGCTCAAGGTGGCTTTCTCGGCTCTTGCTCTCTCCACTGACCTCCAGCCCAGGAGCAGGGTGGGGTCAGTAAGTGACCAGGAGGCGTCCATGGGAGGCCTCAGCGCCAGGGCTGTGCTGGGGGCAGCACGGCCCAGTGGGTGCAGCCGCCCCCCCCGCCCCCCGCAGTGACAGTTAGAAGCTGAGTCTCTGTCAACACACACATCTGGGAGGCTGGGCGCTTCGAGGCGTGACCCGGAGCCCGTCTGGGACTTAAGGACTCCTTCAGGCACACGGTCCCCACCTCTGCCCCCTCGGGGATTGCCTGGCCCATCCTGGGGCTGCACTGGCTCAGCCCCTGCCTTGACATGAGACCCTCATGCAAACCCAGCTCCTGGGAGTGGGTGAAACCCTGCCTCACCCCTTCCCTACACAGATGAGGAGCCCTTCCCGCCCCCTGCAGCTTGTGTGCTGCTCAGCTCAGACTGGTAGTGCCAGGACCAGGCAGACACTGGGCGAGGCTTCGGAGTACCGTGTGAGCCGGGCTCGGGGAAGTGCCCCGGTCTGCCGGCTTTCCGAGTACATGGAGTGCAGGATCAGGCCTCTGGGATGGGAGCTAGTGTGGAGCACACCGGGGGGGGGGGGGGGGGGGGGGGGGGGGGGGGGGGGGGGGGGGGGGGGGGGGGGGGGGGGGGGGGGGGCGCATTGCTAAGCAACAAGGCTCTGGCTGATCACAAACGGCTGTGAGTGACCAGCTGGACTGCAGAGGCCACGTGGGCAGCTGGATCTGTGCGGCGCAGGCAGGCCCCAGCGCCGGCCCACCGATGGCCCCGGCCCCTGGGGTCGGGGGTGCCCCCTCTGGAATGTGCTGTGCCTGATCCCCGCAGCGGGACCATGTGGGTCCAGGAACCAAGCGATGGGAGCAGACGCAGCCGCCCACCATGCCGCCAATGACCCTGCTCCCCGTTCCTGCAGCTCTGGGGTCAGTCCCGCTGAGCTGAAGGCCGAGGCTGCTCCGGGCCACCCTGGCTCCTCGTGTCCAGGACCAAGAGCCCAGTAGAGGGGTGAGCCGACCACCACGGGGAGGCAGGGTCTGTGTGGGGTGGGGGAGAGTTCGTGCAGGGTGGGGCAGGGGCGTGGCCGTTCCCGCAGCTAGTGGACACGTGTAGCCGCCTGAGGGGACCTCAGGGGTGAGGGTGTGCACACCCCAGGTGAGCACCAGGCCCGGCAGACGTGAGGTGGGGGTGCGGCGAGGGGAAGGAGGAGCGGAGCCTGGAGCCGAGGCCCTGGCAGCGGCCGGGGCTGGGGGCCCACGGGTCCGCCGTCTCCCACGCGTTCCCCCAGGAAGAGCAGCCCGCAGGCGCCCTGGGAGCAGAGTTCCAAGGCCCGGTGTGACGGTGGTGGGTGCAGGGCTGCCCCCGCCCGCTGCCAGCGGCGAGTGGGGCTGCGTTAGAGGCCGGCTCACTCCTGGTCACGTCCTCCCTTCCACAGGGGCCACCCCGAAGCCACTCCCCAGCGCGCTCGCGTCAGTCCCTGCTTCTGCGGCCCGGCCTGGACTCGCGCTTGGCTGCCCACCGGCACCGATGAGCAGCCCGCTTCCTTCATACAGGGCGCCTCGCGCCGGGACTGCTTTCAGCGGGTCTGTGAGCCCGGGGCAGCCCTGCCCGTCTCCGCGGGAGCGCCAGGTGACACGGCCACTGGGCTGGCTTGAAAAACGTGCTTTTCCCTTGGCAAAGGACAAGGGTGGGGAGAGGAGAGGGACCTCACCAGCCAGCGAAGGGAAGGAAGGACATCTGGGGCCACGGTGGGGGCAGGAGCAGCCACGTGGGCATGGCTGTGGGTAGCCCTTGGCCTGGACAGGGCTGTGCCTGGGGAGGGGCAGCGCCCGAAGGGGAAGACTAGAGCAGGCACCAGCTCAGGGGATAAGATGTTCCGGTTTCTTGAACAAAAGGGGTTCACAGCGGGGCACCTGGGGGCTCAGTCTGTTGAGTGTCCGACTTCCGCTCAGGTCATGATCTCACGGTTCGTGAGTTTGAGCCCCGCGTGGGGTGCTGTGCTGACAGCTCAGAGCCTGGAGCCTGCTTCCGATTCTGTGTCTCCCTCTCTCTCTGCCCCTCCCCTGCCCACGCTGTCTCTCAAAAATAAATAAACATCAAACAGTTAAAAAAGCAAAGGGGATTCATGATGGGAGGGAGGGGACTCGGGAGCCTGAGGGAGCAGGAAGTGGGGTCCTAAGGCCAGAACAGGCCCTGTGCCTGTGGCCGTTGGGCCACGCCCCTTATTTGGTCGACAATGACCTTGGGCCAGGTAGGAGTCTCTTTGGACTCCGCCCAGCGCGACATGAGGAGGATGCTGGGAGCGGGGACCGGAGTCTGCTGTGGGGCCCTTTGGAAGGCAGCTGGACAGAGGGGTCTGGAGCTCGGGAGGGAAGACCAGGGCATGTGACTGGTGTCCAGGGCCCGGGGAGTGGGGGAGGGGGTGGCTTCAAGGGCGGGAGACCCTGGCCAGCCCAATGTCACAGAAGACAAAAGACTGGTGTCCCACAGAGGTGGGCACCAGCAGAAGGTGGGCAGGTGTGTGACCCAAGGGGCGCGGGCCTTGGGGCTGGGCAAGAGAGGCTGAGCAAATTTCCCAGGAAGGGAAAGGGAGTCTGAGAGGGAAGAGGACTCTTCCTGTGCCCTGGGGGGTGGGGGTCGGGCGAAGAGGGGAGGGAGGACAATCCTGAGGAGGGGGGGGTCTGCGTTCCTCGACTCTCCAGCCCGGCACCCCTCTCCAGCCCAGGGACGGGGACAGGAGTAGGGCAGAGGGCTGGCCGCGCACCTGAGCCCGAAGGTAAGGACAGAGCCAGGCCGCCCTGGCCTTTGTCCCGCTGAGGGCAGCCGCAGGGGGTCCCACTCACCTCCACGGGGCAGAGACCCGCCGCAGGAGGA